TAATTTATTTACTTCAGGTGCTTAAAAATTTCTTTTATTGTGCTCCTTTGTCTCTTTCTTTAATTCTCTTATTTTGATGACAGGAATCCAAATAATTAAAAAAAAGCATAGATTATGAAAATTCTGAATACATCATGCATATGGCATGCCTCAGAAATTCTTTTGTCTTGTACAGCTGATGCCCTCTCTATTACTGCTAACCCAAGAAAATAACTTGCACTTTGAATAATAAAAATGGCAGTTGTCTATAACTGGGTTTGTGTGTGTGTGTGTGTGTGTGTGTGTGTGTGCATGCGCGCGCGTGTAGTTACACACATGCATTCTTAGCCCAAAACTTACACCTTTTGGAATTAAAAAAACACCAACCAAAGCTCATTTCATAAACAACCTAAATTAAATGTCAGGAGTGGCCAAACTTACTGACCCTCTGAGACACACCTGACAATCTTCAGACGTTCAAGAGCTGGGAGACACATGCCAGGACTTGGGGTTTCAGCTTTGTTCATGCTGAAGCCCTCAGCCCCAGAGGGTATGGCCAGTGGGGGTTGGAGCCTCAAGATGCCCTCCCCACTTCGCAGAAGCCCTACTCTACTACCTGGTTGCAGAGCAGAGGTCCTGAGCTCTCTCTCCCCATCCATCTCTGGGAGGTAGAGAATGGAGGAGAGGAGGGTCATGCTGAATGGGGAGCTCCACAAGCCAAACTTTAACAGTAAAGGAGTCGCAGGTGTCTTGTGAGCCACAGTTTGACCACCCCTTGTATATGTAAACATGTTGTAATATACATTCTAAATGTATAGGCCCACTAAAACATGCATCTAGCACAGGGGTTGGGAGCCTACAGCCCAGGGAATGGATGAGGCCCCCAGGTTGCCTGGATCTGGCCCCTGAGTCTTAGGCTCCCTACAGCATTGGAGAGCCTGAGCTGGCACTCCAACCCTCCTTCCCCCCACGCTGGCACTCCAGCCTGAACTTATCGGGTAGTCGAGTGACTATTCAACTACTCGCTTCCCCCACCAGAAGAGGGAGGGGAAGCAGGAGCCAGTGCTGGGGGGAGACAGCTTAAAAGCTGGTTCTCCCCAGCATCATCTCCGTGGTGTGTAGGGGGGCAGAGGAGGCAGAGTCGCAGGAGTCCTGGAGCTGGTGTGAGTTGGGACTGCTCAGACCCAGTTTGCCCCAGCCCCAGAAGCTGGGCAGCTCTTACTACACTTAAAATTCAGAGCTGCAGGGAGGGGATCGAGTGCCTACCTTTATCAACCAATTGTGTAGTCGATACAAATTGTATTGACTATGCAATTAGCAAATTACCTGCTTCTTAACATCCTTAGCCTGGGCTTCTCTAGGCTCTGGTGTGCAAGGGGAATGTGGGGCGTATCTTTCTCCTTTTCAGTCAAGGGCCACATCAGTGAAGATTTGGGGTTTTTTTTCTTCTCCAGTGTATGTGGCCCCCTTCTGATTTTTCTGTGGGTCAGTAGCCCGTAACCCTAAAAAGATTCCCCACCCTGATCTAGCAGTTAGCCATAAAAGTAATCTTGGATGAGTTTTATAGTCTATATTTAGCTGATTACCCATGAGCTCAAGATCACTGACCATCATTGCAAGATACCACATTCCAGGGGAAAGAAAATCTCCCTGAAATCAATGAGAATTGCAGTGTAAGTTGTAGCAATGTGAGCTGTTCCCAGGATAAACAGTTAACCATCCTTCCCCAGCTGAGGAGCCAGTTGATGTGCCTTCTGACTTAGCTGAAAAAATTGATAGCTGAGACACAAACAACAGGAATCACATTCAGGTCTGCTACATGGCAGCCCAGATCATCCATCACCCCTATACTACCTGACTGGTCCAAAGCATATTTTAATCAGTATATTTATATCACAATAGTCTATAATAAATAAAGCATAAGACTTTGAATTTGCCTTTCACTCAAAGATTGCAAAACACGTCAGCAAATATTACTGGATTTCATTTCTGTGTGAGATAAATATTCCCCATTTGTTTTCTCGAAAATAGAAAACAAGCATCTTCCTTCAATAAGAAGAGACTGAGGCATCACTCAAAATAAGGAACATTTACATTCCTTTACACAGATAATTCTTGTGGAAGCGATGATTTTGCCCATTTTTCCCAAGTACTATAAATAAAATGATGTGCTACTGATGATACACAATTACACACTTTCTAAAAAATCAGCAGAATATTCTTCTCAGAAAAGTAATGTAGATCTAGCATACTTTTGATATGGGATTTTGAGAGGCTTTCTTCCTTTTCTTCTTCCATCCCTCCTCTTTTTTTTCCTTGGACTGGCTCACATTGGTGTGCCCTTTACACAAGATTTTAAAAATAGAAAGTTGAATTTCTGACTCTTTTATTATTTTTATTTTCAAATCAGAAAGTTTTGCAAAATAAGCTAAAACCTCTAAGTGGCCAGCCAAAGCTTCTATGGAATGTTTTTTCTATGCCTTCTTCACCAGGAATTGAGTTTATTTTGGCAATTATTCAAGTGAAGAATTAGAAAACACTTCTAAGTTACATTTAACATTTCAGCATGAAAATACCACTTAGAAAGTAGTTGAACAATCTTAGAACTCCAGCATCACGATAAAATGTCTCCTGTTTAAACATTCTCCACCTGAAACACTCAGCCCACATCTGCATTTTATATAAAAAGTGGAGATGTGAAAGACAATTTTCTGCTCCATGTTTTCTAGTGTTATGGTTAAGGAGTTCATTATCTGTGTGGTGTGAGGTGTATTAAGAATTATCATAATATTTTATCCTCATTTAGCAGTGCATATTCAAAAATATTAGTGTGTTTTATAAGTGGTTAAATATCATGTCTGCTGACTAACAGAGAAATTGGGGCACAGAGAGTAGATTTTCAAGGACACATCTGAAGTGGCACTGAAACAAACAGTAGCTGCATCTCCTGAGTCCTCTCTTCTAACCCAGAGATAAACTCCTACTAAATGAAATTCCCAATAAATAATGATATCATATGCATAATTTCCTACATACTGCAGTGCAAATTTACTCTAATTTTCCTTGAATCCTAGCTAAGAAAAAAAACATTACAAGAAGTGGTGAAAATTGTAATGTATGGACATCGAGCACAAAGGCAAGGATTTTTAAGTGGCCTAAGAGATTTAGGTGCCCAAGTTTCATTGAAAGTTTATTCCATTGAAAATCCCAGTGAATACGTCTATGATATCAGAAACAAGAGAAAAGAACCAATTTGAAGAGGGACAGATTGAAAGAGCAACAAAAAATTAGAATACTCTTAAAACTCACTCCAATCTCAAAAGAAATTTACTCACGGAACTAAATTGGTTGTCAGGGTTCACATTTCAGCAAATAAAGTATCTTTTAAATCATATGCTGATACCAATAACAGCCCAGCAACACTAAAGATATTTCAACAGTTCCTCTAGGACAATAACCCTTACATTTCAGGAGCGGTTTAATACATTATGGAGTCAGTCCCAAGGCTACATCCATAAAACCTCCTTTGAGGCCCCACCTATCTTTGTACCTTCTAGCATCTAGTTCTTTCTTGTTAGTCTATGCTATTTATATACTTACATCCCCCTCTTCACTGTGGTATCTGAGCACCTGACAATCAACCATAAAAAAAAACATTAATGATCACATCTCCCCTGTGAGGTAGGGAAATCTTATTATCCCCAGCTTACAGATTTGAAATTGAGGGCACCACATAGGTTCAGTCTGAGCCCAAATATCTGCCTCACAATTGAATAGCCTTTAGCCCAAGCACTGTGACTTTAAGTCAGCTGGCATGGGTCAGCTGTGTGCAGACATTCCTTCTATTAACTGACTGCAGATGTGTAATGTATTAGTAATATTAAAAACCTCCTAACCTAGCCAAATCAAAACATGCTTTTCCCAGCACACCCAAAGGCACTTCCTCTTGTGACAGCTATTTCTCAGTTAAAAGGTCAATATTCTGCCCACATAGCCTGATGAAAAGCAGCTGATAATTCCTAGTTCTTGTAAAAGTTAAATAGTTCTGCACAAGAACTGTTATTAGCAGCTTTACATTTGTGGGGGGGAAATCATAGACGCACGTCAATTTGGCACTGCTAACTTGGGTGATTAGCTTATGACCTTAGTTTGACGCCTGGTTATTGCAGACAGAATTAGTGAAAGAAGCAATCACAAATTAAATGACATTTAAGGTTTGATGCAATAATTTAGAAGTAGCTTCACCGCTTCTCCAGCAAATGAAGTCTGCCTACTATCTCATAACAACTTCAAATACCAATTCTAAAAAAAGCTTATATCATATTTACCTTTCTAGTCTACTGAGAGCAGAATCATATCTCACATTCTGATCAGTCAAAATGAATGGAATCCATTCTCTTTTAGATGATATTTTCCCTCTTGCATTTTATTTGTGTTTATATTGTCCCAATTGCACATCTGAAACTGCATATTTAATTTTATAAAAGTCTGTTCATAAATAATTATTTCAGTCAATGCTTTTGAACAGGTAACTAAAAAGTGAACAGGCAATTAGAAAATGGCAATCAAGAACAACGTTGTATAGGGCTCACTCCTGCAGTCCATGGAATACATCCTCTGCTGGCGCATATCTGAGTAGGTCTATCAAAGTCAATAGAGTTATACCAATTTACACAAGCTGGGGACATGACACTTTCAATTATGCTGGAATTTTGTTCAAACGGAGAGTGCAAGAATATGCCCATCCTCCAGATATAGCCTCACCAAAGAACTAATAGCAGTGATCTCCAAATAGCCTCTAAAAATTGAGTACACTGTAGTGAAATATAGTATAAAGCAGCTGATACCAGGAAATTCTTTTTCCTATTCCTCCTTCATCCTACCATGTAAATCATGCATAAGTGACTCATGCACAACAAAGAATGTTCAAACTCTTTCACACAAGAAATATATGAATAGAAAACTCTTAATCAGAGATAGATTATGAGGTCATGACAAAAATCCTAACAAACTTCACCTACCTCTTCCAGAGCAAGGTAAATTAGAGTTTCCTTGGCATTTCTTAGAGCTGTCTTCAGCTGACAATGGACAAGAACGTGGATGTTCACACTTTTTTCCGGTCCAACCTTCTTTACAATCACATCTTCCACAATTACACTGTCCATGACCTTTACAATGAATAAAATTAAAGTCTTCTAAATCCATCTCAATAAGGGTAATAGATACATTAAAGTGTAATGATAATAAGCAAACACTCTAATTTCTAAAACTTGATTTTTATTAAGTAATTGCTGTGGGAAGAAGTTGATATAATCAAGCCATTGTACCCAAAATCAGTGTTTTCTGTATAGTAATGGATATCACACTGTATTTGTTATCATACAGTTTCTAGACTACTGAATCATTTTTCTCTTAGAAAATTATGTAGCATCTGATATATAGTATACATTTTCATACACAAGATTGTTACTCAAAGAGGTAAAGGCACTCAAATGTATTTTCTCACAACAGTGAAACTCCTCTGCAGCAAGACAATCATAAGACAACTTTCACACTCAACATAATACCACTCTCTCCATACTTTATCTCCTTATCTCACAATACTCGCTCTCACCAGCACACAAAATACCCTCCGTTCTGCACTCTTAGGTCAATATTACTATGATCCACAATGCACATATAAATATATTATAAATCACACTGCAGTGCACGACCTTTACCCTGAACTTCCAATGCTACATAATGTATTAACTGCACTATTAAATACCATATCACATAGGAAAAGAATATGAAGTCCATGCCATGCTCAACATTTCATCCTTTATCTAAATCACACATTTCTACAATATATTTAAAGAACTATTTTAAAAAATGAGATCTGCTTTATGATATATTGTGATTTAAATATATGCAATATATGTGATGCTGAATACTGAATGACATGCAAATTATGTGATGCTGAATACTGAATTTTCCCTGGCCTACAGCAACCACTTGTTTGTGATCAGCAGCTTAGGCTGTTTGAAGGCTTGGAGAGAAGGGAGAGAGGCTGAAGAGCAAATCATATATCCTCTGCTTGTCCAGCAGAAAAAGTTCTAATGTGCGCACTCGCTTCTTTTGTCAATCACTTAAAGGGCCAGGAGTCTGGCAGTACAAAATATTGCAGAAAATGTGAGCGTCAGTGTGACTATATGTATAAACCCCACACTGGTCATGCAGGGGGAAGAGAGCATCAATCGTCCCACACCCCCTTACAGAACCGTCCCATCCATAGGACGAAACCAGGTGGCTGCCCCAGGCCTTGTACTTTTGGGGGTCTTGTGGCAGCCACCCCAATCATCCTATGGATGGGAAAGACTTGAGGGTTTACCAAGTGAGCCTAGCATGGCAGCAGCAGTCTCCTCCTGCACTCACCATGCTGATGGCAGGTGATACGAGCTGGAGCGACCCAGTAGCCTGCTCTGCCCTTCTGTGCTGCCCTTTCTGAGCCTGCTGCAAGTGGCCTCTCAGCATGGTGAATGCAGGAGGGGTCTACCCTGTTGCCACTGCACCAGGCCCCCATGTAATTCTCTGGGCTGAATTCTTCAGGAGAGGTGCTAAGGGGGAAGGCAGGGGCAGAGCAGGGGTGGGGTTTGGGGAAGGGGTGGAACGGGGGGAAAGCAGTGACTCTGGTGTTGGTGCAGGGGTTGCCGTAGGCCCTACACCTGGAGTAATAGGGGGAGGTTTCCACAGAGCCCATGCCCCCCTTGCTCCTGTTGCACATGCTCCAATTGAAGGGAACAGGTAAAAGGCAACTGGTCAGTTCAGCTGCAGCTGTCTAAGGATG